CTAGCATCAGAGCCCGGGTCTAGACACACACACGGGTGTGCAGGTGCTAGGATCAGAGCCTGGTCTAGACACACATACAGGTGGGGAGGTGCTAGGAAGTCAGCCCCGGCCTGCCAAGTGTGTCTTTCCCTGAAGGCAATTACAGTGCTGTCACCTTTTCTTCTGAAATAGTCCCCCTCTGGCAGACAAGTAACATTCGATATTTTTATAAAGCAACACATCTTGGAGTGGCAATAATGTATAAAAATGGACCCTCGAGTCAGGATCTTGGCGTTCTCCATGGTAACAGGGCTCACCAGACATGCTGTCTTGGCAGACGTGGAACCAGCGGCTTCCTGGGCAGAGGCCAACCCGGCTGCCGAACAACTTCGTGCTTTCAAGCGCGCCGAAGACCGCACTGCACCTGTGAGCTGACAGATTGAGAGCCACTCAGAGAGCGATCTCAGGAAGGCGGCGTGACCATGCAGACGAGAACTTCCCACCTAAAGAACACCCGAAGACAGCCCCTCCCACTCCAGGATTTTATCATCTTTGTGGAGACAGCTGTGGCCCAAATGTGTAAATCCAAACCAAACTGTGCCTGGGATTAGGATACAGGATCTACTCTTTCCACGATCTCGGAGGCTTGGGACAATCTGTCCCCCTTACCTTGTATGTTTCCAGTAACCACCATTTGTCCATTAGTGGGAATTAAGTCAACTTCGAAGCATTTAGAATAAGCAGCACATGCCTTCCTTAGAAGGATCTCCAACTTTTATACATTGTCAAAGTTCTTAGAAAAAGGTAACATGAGGAAACCAAAGTTTCTCTCCCTCAAATTAGAGTTCTATTCTATCAGTTGAAAGCAGCTAGCTACTGTTTCACAAATCTTAACATTAACAAACTGGTCCACTTCTCTTTTATCCTGAATGCAAAGCAAACTCTTCTAATAACAAAAAAGAAATTAATTAAAGACATAACATTCAAAATAACTATTGAGGAATAATTTTCGGTTTTCAGAAAAGTTGCAAAAAATAGTACAAAGAAAGTGGTGTGATAGCTCATACCTGTAATCCCAGCTACTTGGGAGGCTGAGGTAGGAGGACTGCTTGAGCCCAGGAGTTCAAGACCAGCCTGGGCAACACAGCGAGATCCCATCTTTAAAAAAATTTAAAAAAAAATTAGCCAGGTGTGGTGGTGTGCACCTCTAGTTCCAGCTACGTGAGAGGCTGAGGTGAGAGGATCGCTTGATCCCAGGAGTTTGAGGCTGCAGTGAGCTATGACTGCACCACTGCACTCCACTCGGGTGACAGAGTAAGACCATGTCTGTGAAAAAATAATAATAGTAAAATAGTACAGAGAGTTGCCATGTAGCCTTCACTCAGCTTCCACTAATGTTAAACAACTACAGGACATTGTCAACATTAAAAACTAAGCAACAGTACAGTACTCTTCACTAAACTACAGATTTTATTTGTATTTTATCAGTTTCTCCATGAAATGTTCTTCTGTCCCAGAATCCAGTCCAGAATATCACACTGCACTTAGAAAACTCGAAAGGAAGGAGTGTGAGTAGCAGAAGCAATAAACAGGAGCAATGCAGGTTGACGTGGCCAGGAAAGGCCCAGGAGCTGCTGCCAACAGGTCCTAGAGCTGGAACCCAGAAGGGGACGGATGAAGAGCGCCCTGCCCAACAGCAGATAAGAGAAATAAAGGAAAAAAAAAAAAAGAAATAATCTGTCTCTGCCATGCACTCCATAGCCCAAGACAGCTCCAGAAGCCCTATGGGGTGGCAGCTCCAAGGCCTCATGATACTGTGGCAGTCAGAGTGTGCGTCTGAAACAGGAGGGAGAAGAGCAGGCAGCAGCCCACCAGAGGCCAGGACACCTGCCAGCTGTACACAGGACACACCAGGTACCCACAGGCTGGGTGAAGTGCCTGCTACCACAGCACATGGAGGGGCTGGGCCTCCGTCCTCTTACAAGGGCAGGGCTTTGCTGAGAGCCCCGCAGATGTCATGGTTACAGTTACACCAAGGGGACTGAGACAACAGAGGTTACAGAACTTGCTAAGAGTTGCCATAAACATCTCTCATCAAAATCCTCCCACTGGGTCCTAAATAAGCCCATCTCCCTAAAACGCCATTGTAGGGAAAAGACATCTCTGTCCTAGAAAGCCACTGACCCTCCTCTCCTCCTTGCTGTGAGTCCTCCTCCGGGCACTTCGCTGCTGTGCGCGGAGTATGCTGTGTGGGGAGCCCGCCTCGGTGCCTGAGCAGCTTTAAAGGAGTGGCACGCACATTTCAGATGAGGACGACTTGGGTGAGGAGCTTATGAGGTTACACAAGTGATGCCTGGCCTCCAAATCTCTGTTCCATCACAATAGCTCACCCTAGATACGACCCCCAAAAGCTGCCTGAGGTGAGGACTGAAATGAAGAAGCTGTCACCACTCTGTGTTCTAGGCCTGCAGGTCTTTTCCCACAGCAGGTGCTTCTCAGGTTTCTGTCAGCATCTTGGCAGCAGTGGTTCTGAGCTTTTTGCGTGCAACAGGTTCATCAGGTGGACCTTTCGGCCCCTTCCGCAGAGAAAAGCCAGACGAGCTGGGGGGCCTGGAAGCATGGGCTGTTACCAACACCTGAGCAGGCCATTTGCTGTCCCCTCCGGATTGACAGGAGCCAAAATATAAGAGCAGCTTAGCTTCAGTTTCACCATGGATTAACCACCTCCAAGGTGTCAACTCCAAAATGTCAGGAATTGGTCACAGTCTCGCTTGCAGATTCCTGCTCTGCAGTTGGGCAGCTTGGATTCCTCCCGCAGCCCAAAAAAGGAAAGACTTTCTCATCATTGAGATTCTCCTGATTCCAGCAGATTGTTTAATAACTGGTATGTCAGAAGCACAAACATGGTTTCTCCAAAAGGGCTGGCCGAGACTGACTTCAGCATGAAACACGGTTTCCCCAAAAGGGCTGGCCGAGACTGACTTCAGCATGATGGCCTGAGGAGCTTCACTGACCTCCTACTCAGAGAAAGTGATGAGCAGTCCCCCAACAGCCATTTAGAGAGCCTTTGGAAATGGTCCTACGGGAACCCAGCAAATGAAGAAACACTCGCTCCGGAACACCTACATACATTCGGTAAGGACATGGAGAGTCTGTGGCATTTAAGCGCCATCCTGCTGCAGTCAAGAACACAGCGCCACCTCCCCAGCTCCCAGGCGGCGGGGTTTCCTCCCAGGAGAGGCAGGACAGCCGTGCTTCCCTTTCTGCTCTCATCCCACCTGTGGCTGAGACTAGGTCCTGAGTGAGCAGGATTGAGAAGAGGGGAATTCCTTTCTGCTCAGACCCTATTGATAGAATGGAGGCTTCACCTTGGCTCCGTGCTACAAGCAGGGTTTGAGCCTCTGCCGGAGGCTCCGCCCAGTGACCCAAGAAGACTGGGGCCCCATCAACCTCGTCCCAGATGTAAGGTGGTTCCAGGCCGGGGGAGGCAAACTTGGGGGATCTCAGGCTGCTGCTGGCTCCCCCAACCCCCATTCAGAGAGAAGCCTATTACTGTCCTCAGCTGCATGGCCCTGGCTCAGAGGCTCTGCCTGGAGTGAGAGGCAGGAAACTAAACAGACAGTTCTTAAGTCTCCCCAAAGGCACCAAATTCACTGCAATGGAATGTGGAGAAGTTCAAGCCTAAGGGAACTTGTTCAAGAACAGTGGAGGCTGTGATGAAGGGGTGGGGGCAGTGGAGAATCAAGCAATAGGCCAAGTTGTAGGCCAACTAGTTTGCAGAAGAGAATCAGAGACTACCATGGCTGGGAGGAGCCCTCTTGGGCCTAGAACAAACTAATCAAACACTGACCTTAGAAAATATCCCTTCAGGCCGGGCGCGGTGGCTCAAGCCTGTAATCCCAGCACTTTGGGAGGCCGAGACGGGCGGATCACAAGGTCAGGAGATCGAGACCATCCTGGCTAACACGGCGAAACCCCGTCTCTACTAAAAACACAAAAAAAATTAGCCGGGCGAGGTGGCGGCGCCTGTGGTCCCAGCTACTCGGGAGGCTGAGGCAGGAGAATGGCGGGAACCCGGGAGGCGGAACTTGCAGTGAGCTGAGATCTGGCCACTGCACTCCAGCCTGGGGGACAGAGCGAGACTCCGTCTCAAAAAAAAAAAAAAAAAAAAAGAAAATATCCCTTCAAAGAAGCCACAATTTGATTGGATTAGTTTGCAGAGCAACTTATGCCTAGGCTGTTGCTGAGAATAGCACAATAAGCTGGCATTAGTGAAGTTTAACAGCCGGATGTGGTCAGGGAAAGAGGAAAAGGACCCCGCTAAAACCACTGTCATCCAGGGTGGCTGTGGGCATACCCAAAGCTGGGTGCCACCCCCCACCAGCAATATCAGAGGCTGAACACTGTGGCAGGGGAAATATATATCAAAACAATCTACTCAGTTGCTAAACAAAGAAGCATATCAACAATGACAAGCCCCAGGGTTGCGGACAGTACCCAGAATTGCTAAAATATATTATCTAAAATGTCAAAAAAATTATGAAGACATAATTCCAACAAAAAATTATGAAGCACTCAAAGAAACAGAAAAGTAGACTCACACACTGGAATAAAAGCAGGCCACAGAAGCTGTCTGTGAGAGTGACCAGATGTTAGATTTATACATATATAAAGGACAAGGTAGCCATGATAAACAAGATCAAGATCATGAATAAAGAAGAAAGATAAGATAATGTTGCATCAAAGAGACTATCAATAAAGAGAAATTACTTAAAAACCAAATGGAAATTCTGGAGTAGAAAAGTATAAAACCTGAAATAACAAAATTCACTAGAAGGGCTCAATAGTAGATATGAACTGGCAGGATAAGCAGACTTGAAGGTAGATCGATAGATTATGCACGCTGAAGAACACAGAAAAAAAGAATGAAGAAAAATAAAGCAAGGCGCAGAGAAATGCTGGACACCATTAAGTGCACGAACACACACATAATAAGAACCACAAAAATGTAAAGACAAAGGAGCAGAAAAAGTATTTGAAGAAATAACAGCTGAGAACTTCTCAAATTTATAGAAAAACATTAACCTACATATCCAGGAATCTTTTTGTTTGTTTGTTTTGTTTTGTTTTGTTTTTAGACGGAGTCTCGCTCTGTCACCCAGGCTGGAGTGCAGTGGTGTAATCTTGGCTCACTTCAAGTTCCGCCTCCCGGGTTCACGCCATTCTCCTGCCTCAGCCTCCTGAGTAGCTGGGACTACAGGTGTATACCACCACGCCTGGATACTTTTTTGTATTTTTAGTAGAGACGGGGTTTCACCACGTTAGCCAGGATGGTCTTGATCTCCTGACCTTGTGATCTGCCTGCCTCGGCCTCCCAAAGTGCTGGGATTACAGGTGTGAGCCACCGTACCTGACCCCATATCCAGGAATCTTAATGAACTGAACTCCAAATAGGATACGTGCAAAGAGATCCACAGACACATCACTGTAAAAATACAAAGATCAAAGGTAAAATCTTGAAAGCCACAAGAGAACAAAATCTTGAAAGCCACAAGAAGAAAGTCACTTAGAAGGGAACCTCAATAAATGAACCACTGACTGAAACAATGGAGAATATTCAAACATATTCAAAGTACTCAAACAAACCTGTGAACCAAGAATCCTACATCCAGCAAAGCTATACTTCAAAAATGGGCTGGGTATGGTGGTTTATGCCTGTAATCCCAGCACTTTGGGAGGCTGAGGTGGTGGATCACCTGAGGTCAGGAGTTTTAGACCAGCCTGGTCAACATGGTGAAACCCCATCTCCAGTAAAAATACAAAAATTAGCCAGGCTATTTTTTTGTAGGGGCGGGCTCCTGTAATCCCAGCAGTTCCAGAGGCTGAGGTGAGAATCACTTGAACCTGGGAGGTGGAGGCTGCAGTTGGCTGAGATCACATCTCTGCACTCCAGCCTGGGCAACAGAGCGAGACTCTGGTCTCAAAACAAAAAAACAAAATAAAAACTCACTTTACAAGAAATACTAAAAGAAGTTCGTCAGGCTGAAAGCAAGTGACCCCAGACAGTAATTCAAACCCACACACGCCCACACAAACAGCACCAGTAAAGGTAATTATGTTCTTATAAAGATAGTTTGAATGCCTATTTTTCTACCTCCTTCTCATAATTTTAAAAAGCAATTGTATACAATAACATGTATGTAATATATACAGACGTGTACTATATTTACCAATAACAAAACAAAGAAAGTGGGTGAAGGCAAAGCCCTACTGGTTGAGGAAATGACCACAGACAGAAAGTAATAATGATCACACTGTATTGTTGAGTTTGTAACATTACCAGATGTAATACATATAACAAAATACCACAAAAATAACCTATAACGGTAACTTTTCCTTATCACTTGGAATTAACCTAGTACAAATCTGAAGCTTAAGATGTATATGGAGAGTATGAAGATTAAGATGTATACGCTAAAACACAGAGCAAGCACTGGAAAAAACTCAAGAAACGTAGTAAAAAAATCATTAAATTAAAATGCTACATTAGAAAATATTCACTTTAATCCACTTAAAGAAGAAATAGGGGAAGAAAAAGACAGACTTGTATAAAGTAAAGAAAAAGTAAAATGCCATATGTAAACCTAACTACAGTATATCAATAATATTAAATGTGCACGGGCTAAACAATTCAATCAAAAGGCAGAAACTACCAGACTGGGTTTTAAAAAAGATCCAAATGTATGCTGCCTAGTTTTGGTTCAAAGATTAAAAATAGTAAAAGGAGTTGGAATTCACAAGTGGTCACTCCATTTGAACAAACCAGGAGAGCCTCCAAGCAGCTCAGAGCCTCCCAGGTGGACCTGAACCCGCGCCAAGTGCACTGTGAAAAGGGTCTTTCACCTTTAACTGTTACACCCACGCGGTAAGCACTTGACCCTTGCCAGACACTGGCACCCCCTTCAATCCTCACCACCCTCTGGGTGGATCCCACATCACCCCACTTTTAGCACATTAAGTACATGGGGCCAACCTGAGGTCACACGCTGTGTGACCTCCACTGGAGTGGCAGCAGTTGAGGGGCACAAACTCAGCTCCGCAGCATCCAGCACTACCAGGAGTTGAAACCAGTTCTGGAGAGGGCACCCCACCTTCCTGGGAAAGTGGCCTGAAATCTCCCTTCAAGGGGGCGTGGCCTGGGAAGCCCCCTTCTCCCCGGGACGTGACCTGTGAGCTCCACTTCTCCCGAGGGCGTGGACCGGAGCCCCCTTCTCCCGGCAGTGTGGCCTGGGAGCTCCCCTTCTCCCGGGGGCATGGCCCGGAGCCCCCCTTCTGCGGGGGGCGATAACCTGGGAGGCCCCTTTTCCCGGGGACGTGACCTCTGAGCTCCACTTCTCCCTAGAGCGTGGCCCGGGGTCCCCATTCTCCCCGGTGCGTGGCCTGGGAGCTCCCCTTCTCCTGGGGGTGTGGCCTGGGAGCGCCCCTTCTCGCGGGGGCGTGGCCCGGATTCCCCCTTTCCCAGGGGCGTGACCCGGGAGCCCTCCTTCTCCCGGGAGCTTGCCCTGGAGCCCCTCCCTTCTCCCGGGGGCGTGGTCTGGGAGCTCCCCTTCTCCCGGGAGTGTGGCCTGGAGCCCCCCGCTTCTCCCGGGGGCGAGGCCCAAGCGGAGGCCGTTCCTAGGTCACAGGCACCCCGTGACCCCGCCCCGGCTCTCCAGACAGCAGGTGGCCCGGAGTCCCCGCCCTGTCCAGCGTAGCTGCAGCCCAGTACCAGCCCTCACCTTCCGGCTCCTCATGAGTGTGAGCGCCGCAGCCAAGAACCCCGCGCCCCGGACCAACGCGTCCCGGCGGAGCGGCGACCCGGAGTCTGCAGAGCGCGCCGCGGCGGCATCCGACGTCAGCAGAGCCAATCACAGCGCAGCGCCCTCGTCATGTGACCCCACAGTGTTGGCTTTTACGTAAGCGACGGGCGCAGCTCGCGGGCTTTGGGCCAGTGCTGGGACACTGGAGCAGTAAGTCGTCCTGTGGCAGGCCATGTTCGTGAGGGCGCGTCCCTTGGCACCCCTGTAGCCGCTATGTTTCCCACGCCCATGGCAGGCCTGGGAGGTTATGTTTGCGGGGGGTGCTTTTTTTGTAGCTTCTGTGTTTGCCATATTTGAAAGGGGCGGACGACCATGTTCGTGAACGGCGCTTCCCTTGGTGCACCTGTGGCCGCCATGTTTTGAGAGGGGTGGGCCACAATGTTCTTTAGGGGCACTTGCGTTGAAGCTTCTTTGGCCATCATGTTTGAGAGGGGCGGACGGCCATGTTTGTAAGGGGCGCTTCTCTTGGTGGGCCTGTGGCCGCTATGTTTGAGAGGGGCAGGCAACTATGTTCGTGAGGGTTGCTTCCCTTGAAGCCTTTGTGGCCGCCATGTTTGAGAGTGGCAGACGGCCATGTTTGTGAGGGGCTCTTCCCTGGTGCGCCTGTGGCCGCCATGTTTGAGAGGGGCGGGCGGGGCGTCCGTGAGGGGCGCCTCCCCTGGCAGTCCCTGGCCAAGAGCCTGTAGGAGGGCGGGAAGTGCTTTCCCCAGTGCCGCAAAGCGCTGGTTTCTGAGCGCCGGTTAGCGGCGTTGAGCAGCGCGAGGGACCCCTAGGCCTGCCCTTGCTGCGGTCCCGCTGAGGAAGTTTGCGCGCTTGTCGCAGGCTGGGCTGCCCTGCGAGGTGCCGCTTTGGGTTGGGGTGGCCTCTGCTGTCCCCCACGTCGCGGGCGGGATCGGGCCTCAGTGGAGGCCGTCGGTGGGCCCAGGAGGCCAGGGTCCGGCGTCAGGCTGGGGGTCAGGTTCTCACCCCCTGTCACGTGCAAGGCGGGAACTGACCCCTCCGCTGTCCGGTTACTCTCCGGGGCAAAAGCGGATTCGCAGCGGCTACGCCTCCTCTGGTGGCCACGCCCCTAGCGCGCCTGGGTGGACCCGCAGCGGCCACGCCTCCTCCAATGGCCACGCCCTATCAGGTCTCGGGTGGACACACAGCGGCCACGCCTCCTCCAATGGCCACGCCCTCTCAGGTCTGGGTGGACACAGCGGCCACGCCTCCTCCAATGGCCACGCCCTATCAGGTCTGGGTGGACACACAGCGGCCACGCCTCCAGCAGACACTCCCTTAGCAGGCCTGGGCTGCTGTGATGCGTCCTCCTCCGCGGCTGCTTGACATCCTGGCCTTCACTTCAGCTAAGGGAGGTGTTTATAAAGCTGAGGACCACTGTTCTGTTTTTTATTTTATTTTTTATTTGAGACGGAGTCTCGCTTTGTCGCCCAGGCTGGAGTGCAGTGGCGTGATCTCAGCTCACTGCAACCTCTGCCTCCTGGGTTCAAGCGATTCTTCTGTCTCAGCCTCATGAGTGGCTGGGATTTCAGGCACGCGCCACCACGCCTGGCTAATTTTTGTATTTTTAGTAGAGATGGGGTTTCACCACGTTGGTCAGGCTGGTCTTGAACTCCTGACCTCAAATATTCCGCCCACCTTGGCCTCCCAAAGTGCTGGGATTACAGGCGTGAGCCACCGCGCCCGGCCCACTTTTCTGTTCTTAAGGATTTTAACATAGAAATGAAATCCAGCCTTGCCTGAAACCCTCCAGCCCTTGAGTTCTCTGGGCTCTAGGATGTGTGTCTTCAGAAAAGGGCGCGAG